TAATCGACACACAGAACTCACATTTGAAGAAAGGTCCCTTGTGCAGCAGAGGGTGTTACACACCTTCAACAAGCTGGCATCGGTGCTCACTGGAGGGTTTAACAACCCACTTTCACTTCGCCCTCGTTGGTTTCAGATGGCACAAAAAACGGAGTGGAAGTAGGTTGGGAGAGGGAGTAGCAAGCAGTTTCAGAAAGGCCCCACGTTATGCTACTTTGCCTACATTATCAAAACAAAGGCCAAGCAAAAACACAAACAAAAACAAAAAAACCTGGAATATTTTGTCATGTAAGTATGAAAATATAGAGTAGACATCATTGACGTATCATTGCATTACAGTTTTTTACAATTGCTAACAAGTTTTCAATGAGTTCACTTTTTCAAAACTTTTCACACTGTTAGCACAAGAGAAGTCTATGTGGCCCAAACTGAGAGTGACTCTTGCCTTGCTGTACAACTTGGCCAAAACACGCTGGCGAGGACAGAATTTGATTGGCAAAAGAGCTAAAGTGCGTGTCCCAGGCCAAAGGGGTGCCAATGTTTTGGGTTTTTGAGCAACCATTTACAGTGCTGACTTTTGTTTTCCTTGCAATTTTTATTTACTGTAGTTCATTTTTTGAGTTACTTGATGGCAAAGATAAAGTACAGTGAAGCTTTTCCTGTTTTCCTCTTGCAATTTGATAACTTCCTGTTGTATGCTGTTGTACATTCTGTAAGACTGGGAACTTTACACACTGTAAAATAGGACAAAGTACACATATCTTATACTATCGACAATTATATTATGTATACACAACCAAAAAAACAAAAAATTATTTACTACTTGAAAGATTCCATAAAATGATGCATCTACTGTAGTGCTATCGGTTGTTAGTGTTTTTTTAAGGTTATTGTGCTATGAGTGACAAAGTGTTGCTGTTGGAGAGAACTATAGACAAAAGTGTGAAGAGTATTGAAAAAACTAAACTCAGTACTGAAAAATACTTGGTACCAATTGTAAAAAATAATGAAAAAAAAGCTCTGAAAGCACAAGCAGTGATTTTGGGAGCTGCGCTGGCGCAAATGCAGACCATTTCACATTTACTATTTTGACATTTCCAGCTTGTGATGTTGTTCCAGACATCAGCACTGTTTTGCTGCAGACAACACGTGCAGTAACTACTGACGAACCAGCTCTTCCGGGCCCCTCCTATAACACCCTAAACCCGCCCACAAAAAATACCCCCATCTGATTGGTTCTCTGTGAATGACACCATCCTAGATCTATGGGGAAATAGATACAAAGCATTTACTGTACACTGAATGTTTTCTTACACTGCAAGTGTGCTCGTTTGATGTGATAAATGATGATGTTGCTATGGAAGTATTAACACTATTTAACTGAACGGAGTCAATATTGCTCTAGATTTATTAATACCAATGGAAAATTCTTACAGAAACCCAGTCACAACTATCAAAGAAAACAAAAGAGCATGAAGACACTCAGAGGCAGGAAAGAAATAAAACAACAAAATAATAAATAATAATAATAATAGCCACCTATGATCTTTAAAAAATAACTACATTAAAACTAATTAAATATGTGCAATATACATGATATTTGATAGTGGAAGTCTAGTTAGTGTATGTGATCTTGTTAGTTCAATGTTCTTCATTTAAATTTCAAAGACTAAACAATATCATCTTTCTTACTTCTTTTTTAAACTGCAGTGTGTTATTTTTTTCAGTGGGTTTAGCTGTGCACACACAATGTTTTAATAATTGATTTTAACATAATTAAGTGGGACATTTTATGCACGTTTAAAATAACATTATTTCTAAAACACTTGTAAAATGGTTGATCTATTTATAAGGATAACTAAATAAATAATAAGAATAAGAATAAAAATTTTGCCAGAGAAGGTGTATTACAGTGTAGAACTTCACCATTTAAAAAAAAATTCATATTAAATATACATATACATACATTATGTATTATCATACAATATGATATTCAATATTTTTGCTATTTTCTATTTAATTTCCCACATATCATTGGCTGCAGGCAGCCATTTTAATGTGTGCCCACTTTGTACCAGCCTGCATGTGAAGTGTTTTCTACCTAATATATGTCTATACCGGAAGCTGCGTTCAGAGGTCAACGTCCAGGAGTAACCTGCCGGCGCATCATCGCATCACCCCACTCTCTGCCGTTAAAGCGTCTGTTGGAGCTCAGTGACTTCATCAGGATGTGATTTTTTCCCCATCATCACTGGACACAGAGATGTCTGAAACAAAATTAGTTCATCGATCTGTTGGACTCAACTTTTTCAGGATTACGTCTCGGTTCATCTCCACCGGTGAGTTGCTAGCCGAGGTGCTTATCTCAGATTATGTTAAACAAGTCTGTCTGATAGTTAGCTGCGTTCAGAGGATTTCGACCACGCTGCAGTACAGTACACCCGCAGTACAGTCAGCAGTAACGTTACTGTATTAGTGCCATTACTGTGGCATTATTTTGTAGTAGCTACTGCCGTTAAACTAGCTAACCTCTAACGTTACTTTGTTAGCATCTTTGCCGCTGTCGAGTTAGGGAGCTAAGTTAGTTTTCACTTGACAGGTGACCTGCATTAGCTGACTTAGCCAATTTAGCTAGAAAGCAGTTCTCTGTCATAAAAAATATGCTTTGTGTAAGGAGTTTCGGTCTTATAACAAGCTGAATGCAGTTCTCTGTGGCATTTTATGATGTTCCCCTGGCTCACGTTTGCAGCGTGCCTGGCGACAGTGCTCGGCTTGTTTTCTGGTCCCGCAAGCAGCTATCGATAGGTAAGGTGTGCCTTACCTGGTGCTTACTACTTCCACTTGCACGAGCGGTGTGGGGGAAAATGCGCTGACAACGCAAAGGAGTAATATTGGACTGATGACATGTGGTAGTTTCCATAGGGTGATGTTAATAACCTTGGACATCACTGGTTAACATTTGAACTAGAAAAGTCCAATACTAAGTACGTAATGTTATTCTTTTCAATACACTTATCTAAACTTTTGCTTAAAGGTGTTTTTGTTTGCATTGGTTTGCATTGTCAGACACAATGTAAGTGTATGTTACATGCAGTCAGGATTTATACATGAATGTTTGAATGTATGCTTTTCACAAATTGGCAGTGTTATTTCATGGTGTTGCAGTTATTTAGGACTCAAACAATGCTTCAGATGTTTATGGCTGTATGGTTATGGGTAACCGTATGACCAGCATTGCACGCAAATGGTGCGAATTCATCCTTGTTGACTTATGTATGTATGTATGTACTGATGCTCCCAGTGTTGCAATATCAGTTGCATTATCAAGATACTTAAGTTTATGCAACCCACTTTTGCAATATGACAAACAGCACCACGTGTCAGCCAAGGCAATCTTGTGTTACTGTACCCTGATATTTGGACTCTGTCTCCTTTATAACTGTTGCTGCCACTGTTGTGTTTCTTGCCAGTATTTGCAGCCTGTTCGTGTCGCCCAGCCATGGCACAGCAGGATGGTGCTGCCAAGAAGAACCCTGCTGTTGGGGCATTGCCCTCTCACTTCGTTGTGGGATCAGTGTCAGAGGAGAACTCAGAGGATGAAATCCCAGGGAAGCCTGACTTGCAGCTGGAGGAAAAGGAGACTCGGTCCTTGTCCCCGTCCTCCGGTAGCTCAGACAGCACCTATGAAATGGGATTTGACCACATTGATGGCCCCATACAGAATCTAAGGTTGGAATCCAAACCTGGTCTGTCTCATCACCTCTAGCCTCTTGATATTCATTTAGATATTTTTGCTGAATTTATGATTATGATATTAGTCATATATGTGGATGCAGGTTTTTATGTGAGGATTTGTTCAGGTATTCTAAAGCTTTTCTTTTTCAGGCATGCAGGATCAATCGCTTTGTATCAATAATGTACCATGTATTGGAAGCTACTTGATGCATTTTCCAAAGTTATTTGGGTTTTAAATAAGTGTCTCTGCAAATGTGTACCCGTAGTATTGCATAAAATGTATGTATTATGAAAACATTAAATTTAGCAGCCTTGAATTACAGTATTTCTTTGTGGCTGCGGAGTGTGCAAATGTGAGATAGAAATCTGGAACTTTGTACTTCAAATGCTGTCTGGAGTAGACCAGTCCTGCTGAAGCAGGCCTGTAGTCTGTAATGAGTGCACTCTGTTCAGATTATGTACTCCTCTGTCGCTGGGTTGCCCCTTTTGCAACACATGTCAAAAATGTGGTTTCAGTAGCTGCACACTGCGAAAGGGTTTCTCTGTGTCCCGAGGCTGTGATGTGGGCGTGGAAAGTAGACATAAACTTCAAGATGTTGGTTTGGGAATGATGGGGGAAAATGTTCACACAGAACATCCCAATCTGACAGTCAAAAGGAGCTTTTCAGCACTGACAGAAGTTTGTTTAAAGCTTGCAGTAGTCTTGTTTCTCTGCCAGCCCCAGGTCTTTCACTGGGCTGCCAGGACTTCTCATTTCATTGTCACTTTCACAGACAGTGGCTTGTAAATTGCGTTTTCCAGTAAAATCTCACAGAATATGTGGGTTTGTGATTCAAATGAGATAGTCATGCTGATGTAGGTAATTACCTACAGAATATCTTCATCATAATTCCTTCTTTCTTCCTTTTTAAGTTTCTAAATATTGTTGTAGTATGCAGCCAACTATGTGGATAGTGACACCTACTGACTAACTTCTTTCACTTTTAATTTGCAACTTTAAATTTTAGAACCACATTATTTATAAGACATTGGGAGCTTCTAGATCTAAGTGCTTTGTCCAGTCTGGTTTTGTGCGAATAGCTTTACAAGGATGAGAGAAGTGTGGGTTAAATGAAAGAAGCTGTGATGTCAAAAACTGGAAATACCAAATTCTCTCATAGGGCAGAACAAACTTTCAACTCCACAACTGGATTGAAATCAGAGCCTCTTTAATGTAACGACTCATTTGCTTCATGCAGGTAACCCCTACTGTGATGCAATAATGCAGCATCAGGCCACAGAAGCCAGCCAGCCAAATTTACTCGGGCGCTGGCACACCCTCCAGCTGATAGTCAAATCCCTCCCCCTGTGCTACCCGCTCCCCCGTATGATTCCCCTTTGGGTGGAGCTTGATACATAGACGTCTGCCAGTCCTGTTGGAGGCTCTTGCCCAAGCATGTGAGCGTGTTTAACGACTGTACGGCGTCCTGTCCTGTTGTGCAAGATATGATTGGCTCCGTTAGTAGTTATACTACAAGAAAACTATTTTCTTCTTAAAGATATACAGTAATTGTTGACCCTGTATTTTTGTTGTTCCAACCATATTCACAGATCATTAGCATCATTCCTATCAGTAGTACATTTTCAGGTTTTTCTTTAACATTTACTGTGAGGTGAAGCTGTAACTCTCCCACAAGTGTAAGATAAGAGATAGTAGTCAAATCTTCTTAGACCAGTCTGACTCCTATCAATATGAGGTGTCGTGTTTTTTTTTTGTTTTTTTGTTTTTTTTTATATATATTTCTGGGCTGTAAACATAGACTAGTTGCTGCTGAAAGACATGTGTTTCTAAATGATTGCCTTATGTTTTGCACAGTTGAAAATGAGAGCTTGTTATTAGCATAGCAACCGAAAACCCACGTTCTTTCCAAAACTACAGGGGACATTACATGTGTTCTTTTGTATTTCTTAAAATAGGCCAAGCATGTCAGGGCTGCACCTGGTGAAGCAAGGCAGAGATCGCCGGCGGATTGATCTCCAGAGGGACTTCACTGTGGCTTCTCCTGCTGAATTTGTCACCCGCTTTGGTGGCAACAAGGTTATTGAGAAGGTGATGACTTTATTATTTTTATTTTTTGCACATTCTTGAAAGGATCATAACGTGTTACTGCCAGAATAAATGCCATAGTCAAAAATAAATCTCAATAATATTTACAACCTCTTTAATAATGAAAAGAACCAGTGAAGAATAATTTTTTTGAGTTTGCATCACACAGCCATGAAATGTAATGACTATTATAGTATAATGTCATTATAACACAGCAGCATCTCTGATATGATTAGACCATTATTATGTCATTATTAGTGAAGTCTTGTTTTGTGAACAAATAAGTCAAGTGTTTTGCTTCTTCAGGTGCTCATTGCCAACAATGGCATTGCAGCGGTCAAATGCATGCGCTCCATCCGCCGCTGGGCCTATGAGATGTTTCGCAATGAAAGGGCAATCCGGTTTGTTGTAATGGTGACCCCAGAGGACCTGAAGGCCAATGCAGGTGAGCTTTAGAATGCTATCTTTGAAAATGTAAAACATCTTGGTAAGTGCGCAAACTGTGGTGCCCTTCAGCTTTTGTTGCATGCATCCAAACACATTAGCCAATTCATAAGGCCGTACACAATGAGGACTAGTGTAGATGTGACTGCAGTGAAGTTATTTGGTGGAAAAAGGTTTTCTGTGGTTCTGTCTTTCACAGAGTACATCAAAATGGCTGATCATTACGTGCCTGTGCCAGGAGGGACTAATAACAACAACTATGCAAATGTAGAGCTCATTCTGGACATTGCTAAACGCATACCTGTTCAGGTACCTCTACATGTACACCAGTATATCTATTGTTTTCCCACAGGAATCAAGTATTTTATCATACCTGTTGTCATTGTATTGATCCTAACAGGCAGTGTGGGCTGGCTGGGGTCACGCTTCAGAGAACCCCAAACTCCCAGAGCTGCTTCAAAAGAATGGCATTGCTTTTATGGGTAAGAGAAGCTTCTTATTTTATCTATCACTTTGCTGACCCTTCTGATTTACCCTCACAGTCACTGCTTACACAACAATTTTATTTTTATTTCTTACTCCTTCCTCAGGTCCCCCAAGTCAGGCTATGTGGGCTCTAGGAGACAAGATTGCCTCTTCTATCGTGGCTCAGACAGCTGGCATTCCAACCCTGCCCTGGAGCGGCACAGGTAGGTCACAGTTTGTGTGGCTTCCAAAAAGGCTTTTAATAATCAGCTTTGGAAAGTTTCTTTATTGTCAAAAAAAACAATCAATGATTCTTGATTTTGTCTGTTTTTAAGTCCGATTCCTGAGATTTCAGATTCAGAATTCTTGGAAAAGAACATTATGAACATCACACAATTACAGTGAAAAGTATGTATGCTGAATATTTTATCTTTGTGTCTTTCTCAGGCCTGACAGTAGAATGGACAGAGAACAACCAAAAGAAGAGAATCATCAACGTTCCTACTGACATCTATGAGCTTGGCTGCATCCAGAATGTTGAGGAAGGCCTTAAGGTAAGCATGTCATTGAACTGACTGATCATGATGCAACATGAATGTTGCGTGTGCTTATATTGTGCATACTTGCATCTATACTGGAAAGCTGTATGTTTACATTGCCAGGCTGCAGAGAATGTTGGCTACCCTGTAATGGTGAAGGCCTCAGAGGGAGGTGGAGGAAAAGGCATCCGTAAAGTCAACTCTGCTGATGATTTCCCTAACCTCTTTAGACAGGTAAGTGGAAACTACACTAATTTGAGCGTGATCGTGCAGGACTTAACACGTTGTAGAATAGGGTTTTAATGTATCATTAAAGATCCAAATGGAAACTTTAGCTTCACCAAAGTACATTTCACAGGAGAAAGAAGTATGCCAATTTAGAATAGGGATTTTGTATATTTTATGACGGCAAGGATTTATTTTGTCTTTGGTTCTCCAGGTCCAGGCAGAAGTTCCGGGATCCCCTATTTTCGTCATGCAGCTAGCCAAGCACGCACGCCACCTAGAAGTCCAGATCTTGGCTGATCAATACGGCAATGCCATTTCCCTGTTTGGCAGAGACTGTTCTGTGCAGCGACGGCACCAGAAAATTATAGAGGAGGCTCCTGCTACCATCGCCACTAGTGATGTGTTTGAGGATATGGAAAGGGTACAACCTACCATGTATCTAAAGCATAAAGCTGATTAATTGACACTGAAGACCAACTAAATAAATCCATCTTAATTGCACCTCAGTATGAATACAATTGTTTTCTCTCCTCAGTGTGCAGTGAAGCTGGCTAAGATGGTGGGGTACGTCAGTGCAGGTACAGTGGAGTACCTCTACAGCCAGGATGGCAGCTTCTATTTCCTAGAACTCAATCCTCGTCTGCAGGTGGAACACCCCTGTACTGAGATGGTGGCCGATGTCAACTTGCCTGCTGCCCAACTGCAGGTCAGTTTGACTCAGACACACCTGCAGGGATAAAAAGAGCGCACTCTTTTACATCACATACAATACGTTTTGAGTCTGACTGTCCTGTAGCAGACAAAGTTAGCACGCTTCACCGCCTTCACCACTTAGCTATGGCGGGGCCCCCCGTCTCCATGGCAACCGACTGCAAAAGAGGGAGGCAATATGCAGAAATTGTGTAGTAGATCCAGAGGTCGTAACAGCACTCGGTCATGTGGTCTGTTCTGCAGTGTTTAGGATTGTGTGTAAATAGGTCAGTGGCAGTCAAGCTGAAAGGCAGCGTTAGTGGGGACAGCTATGCAGTCAAGCTGACTGGGTCTTACTGTGGGAGTGACACACTCACTCTGGCACAGAGGACGAGTATCTTTTTTCAAACAACAGTGGGACTCACTGTCTCTCGCAAGATGTTGTTTATCGGGGGTCTAAAAAAGAATATCATGTAAACTACTGTCAGATAAGCTAGCCAGGGAAAACCTATGTGGTTCATTCAAAGCAAATACATTAACAATCCAAATACTGTATGTGCTAGACACACACTGTTTGTTCAGGGCCCAAGAGCCTGTTCTTTAATGTTCTATATATGTAATTTCCAGAGCATGAACTTGTGTTGTACTAATACCAGTATCTTCTGTCAGATTGCTATGGGTATTCCTCTTCAAAGGATCAAAGACATCAGGATGCTTTATGGGGTCCAGCCCTGGGGAGACTCTCCCATTGACTTTGAGGGTCTGTCGACGGCCCCCTCCCCACGGGGCCATGTCATTGCTGCACGCATCACCAGTGAAAATCCTGATGAGGTACGCTTCACTCTCTGCTGGTACACACAAAATGTGCAGCTGAAGGTTACACATTTTTCGATTTTTGGTGTTGGTTGTGTTCTTTTTAAATGTTTCATTTCAATTTTGTTTTACCCTAAACAAAGGTCATTGCTATAATTTCTAACCTTTACCCTTCTCAAAATTTGCTGGTTTTGGGAGATGAAGATAGTTTATTCATCAATATACAACACAAGGTTGTATAACAAAATGAAATGTGGTGTGATTGCAGGGTTTCAAGCCAAGCTCCGGAACAGTACAAGAGCTTAATTTCCGCAGCAATAAGAACGTGTGGGGCTACTTCAGCGTTGCAGCGGCTGGTGGGCTGCATGAGTTTGCTGACTCCCAGTTTGGACACTGTTTCTCTTGGGGAGAGAATCGGGAAGAAGCCATCTCGTAAGTACACACAGAAATATTAAAAAGACGTCTGTGAAGGTTGTCAGTCATCCAGGTCATTGTAACCCAAGGAAGGTTCAAATCGAGGGGCAACTGGACTGGTTAAAGATTCTCAAAGATGGTTCTTCTCTCGGATGAGAGGCGAAGGGTCTTCAAATATCTTTTACCAGTCCAGTTGCCCCTCGATTTGAACCTTCCTTAGAGAATTAACATTGCTCTGTCAGAAAGGAAGAAAAACATTTATTTATTGCTAATGTTTATTTAACATGGGACATATTTGTATTTAATTGTCTAATCAAAGGCTTTTATAGTTTATACGTGGTTATGTCTTAATCTTTTTAAAGCAACATGGTGGTGGCTCTGAAGGAGTTGTCTATCCGTGGAGACTTCAGGACCACAGTGGAATACCTCATTAAGCTGCTGGAGACAGAAAGCTTTCAGCACAACAGCATTGACACAGGCTGGCTGGACAGGCTGATCTCAGAGAAGATGCAGGTATGCAGAGGTGCTTCAGCTGTTGCCACTGGATGTTCTCCAAGAAAACAAATGAGAACTGATATATTTGACATTCTGACCCATATTACAAAGTCTGCTCTGAAACTAGAGAATAGTAAGACCTTGTGGTTTATTCTGCTGGCATCACGCAGTTTGAATTTAAGGTTGAGTGTTTGATGTTTTCCTGGATAAGAAGGAGAGTGTATGTTGTGGGCAGGCGGAGCGTCCTGATACCATGCTGGGAATCGTGAGCGGGGCTCTGCACGTGGCAGACGTCAGTCTGAGGAACAGTGTGTCCAACTTTTTGCATTCTCTGGAAAGGTAAAGAAATAGAAAGTTATAGTAATCCATATCAAGAAGTAGATACTCAGGGATATTAGCATTTGAATAGATGACATGAAACACTCTTTACTCTCTGACCAGGGGCCAGGTGCTGCCTGCACACACTGCTCAACACTGTGGATGTGGAGCTGATCTATGAAGGTAATAAATACGTCCTGACAGTGACACGCCAGTCTCCCAACTCCTATGTGGTCATCATGAACAACTCCTCTGCTGAGGTGGACGTCCATCGGCTCAGTGATGGAGGTCTATTGCTGTCTTACGATGGAAGTAGCTACACTACCTACATAAAGGAAGAGGTGGACAGGTAAGAGGAAACTGAAATTTAGAGAATGGAATTATCATTACTAATGTAGCTGTAACTTCACCACTGAAAATATTTTCCCTCAGTTAACAACTTTACAGAAATATCTTGATGCACTTACACCTTTGATTTCCAGTTCTGTTAAGATCTCTCTTTTTTTATTTTTTTATTTTTTATTTTTTTCACCCTACAGGTATCGCATCACAATTGGGAACAAGACTTGTGTTTTTGAAAGGGAGAATGATCCTTCACTGCTACGATCACCTTCAGCGGGAAAACTTATCCAGTACACAGTTGAGGATGGCGGGCATGTGTTTTTCTGGCCAGTGCTATGCTGAAATAGAGGTACAGTTATGGGTGTGTTGTCTTCAAGACTGATGCAATCAGTTCAAATTCACTTTATTTTTGTATTTTGTTGAGCTATAGAGATGGAACCTTTTGTTCTTGTAAATTGAAGGTGATGAAGATGGTAATGACCCTCACAGCTGGGGAGTCTGGTTGTATTCACTATGTGAAGAGGGCTGGAGCAGCACTAGAGCCTGGCTGTGTCATTGCCAAGCTGCAACTGGATGACCCAAGCAGAGTGCAACAGGTACTGTATGTCTGTAAACTGTTTGCCAAGTAGATTTTCCTATGCATTTGCAGTAGGTTTTCCTATTCATATGCCTGCTACAAGGTCACCCTTTTATATGTAATATGTCTTTGTTTAGTTCAAAATATCCGTTCACATTTCAAGTTAGGCCACACATTTTAGCTTTTCAATCTTTCTAAAATGAAGAGTAACAGGATGTCAAAATGACACACGTCTGTATTTTCATACAAAAGGGATGCACTCTACTTTATGAGCCTTAGATATTAGTTTTATGGGTGTGTGCAGTTTTTGTTTATTACAAGCTACTTTATGAAGTCAAAACATTAATGAAGCAATTGAGGCTGCAAACAAAGAAAATGGCTCAATTATCTGAAGGGAACAGGTGTTAGCAGGAGCGAGTCGGGAGGCTGACTTCCCGTAAATGTGTCACTGCTGGTGAGGTAACAATGCTAAAGAAGAAACTACAGAACCCTGCAGGTCCCTCCAACTTACATTTAGACGAGGTAGTTTGCTTTTTTCAGTATGCCCTCTACTTCCTACTAGACACCCATGACATTGCTTGTGTATGAAACACCCGCATGCACAATACTGCTGTAAAATTTGTATACTAAGTATATGTTTTTTTTTCTTGTAGGCAGAGCTGCACACAGGGGCTCTGCCTTCTATCCAGGCAGTAGCCCTGAGAGGGGAGAAGCTACACAGAGTCTTCCACAACACACTGGATCATCTTGTTCACATAATGAATGGCTACTGTCTTCCTGAGCCTTTCTTCAGTGCTAAGGTAAGAAGTCACACACATACCTGGGTGTACACCAATATCAGCCCTTCCAACTGTAAGCAGTTCATTAAATATCTGCCTCCTGTGTCTGTCCTAGTTGAAAGAGTGGGTGGAAAGGTTGATGAAAACCATGCGCGATCCCTCTTTGCCACTGTTGGAGCTTCAAGACATTATGACTAGTGTGTCTGGTCGTATCCCCCCTGCTGTGGAGAAGGCCATCAAGAAGGAGATGGCTCAGTATGCGAGCAACATCACCTCTGTGCTCTGCCAGTTCCCCAGCCAGCAGGTGACACACACACACACACACACACACACACACACACACACACACACACACACACACACACACACACACACACACACACACACACACACACACAATTCTTCTTAAACCTACCTTGTCAGTAAGGGCAAAACTGCTGCTGTTCTTTCTGCCTTGCCGCCAAGTTCTTCTAGGACAGAGTGATTGGTTATGAATAGACATAGCACATGGTTAATACTGCTGTATTTGATCAAACTCAAAACAGCAGTAAAAGCCTGTTATAACAAATGGGTGTTTTTGTTTGTTTTCATTATGATTGCTTGCTTTAAAAGGTTTTGTTAGTTTAGTTAGTTAGTACTGTAGTGTCCAGTCAGCCAGAAGATTTTGCAAACGTTATTTCACAATATATATCTGTCTAAGTGAAAGGGTTATCAGACTGCAAGTGCTGTCTGTGTCAGTGTGTGTGTATAGGGCATCGTGTTAATATTATAAATGTTGGGATCACGCTGAGTTTCTAATTCAGTCTGTAATGAGAAGAGATGTCTGTCTTCTGACTGTTTGACTTTTAAACAATACACTGGATTTTATGTGTTATTGCTGGTTGAACAATATTTATGGATATATTTTTTAATTGAATAGTCATGCATAGTTTATAAAGAGCAAAGAAAAGCCAGTACACTAATGTATGTAGTAGTGAAAGGGTGTTATCACCTCCGTCTAATGGTATTTATCTTTATTATCTATTTTTATTTACAAAATTTCAGTCAGTTTGGATCTCACCGATATAACTGGAGCAAGCTAACTGAGTGGTCATGAGTACTACTGGGATTAAATGCTTATGAGTCTCTGCTGCTGATGGGATTAAATGCTTATATTGTTCATCTCCCTTGTTCACAGATTGCAAACATCCTGGACAGTCATGCTGCTACACTTAACAAGAAGTCTGAAAGAGAAGTCTTCTTTATGAACACACAAAGCATTGTTCAGCTGGTGCAGAAGTGAGTATGATACTCTATCTCAAAATAATGCAAATCTTCACCTACTGATCACAGTACACCTATGACCCAAAGTGACTGATTGCCAGAGCTGCTTATTATGTTCAAGAAGACACAAAGTTTATTAAGGCTGATACTTTAATTTGCTGCAAGACATTATCTTATTTGTAACACCGTGATTAATTTGCTTTATATTAGTTGTTTTTGTGGTCACTAGAACTCCTTCTTTGAGTTCATATGCCCACTTAGCACAATTCTGCATTGTTCTTTGTGTCAGGCCAGGCTGTTTTTGTCTCCAACAGATATCGCAGTGGCATCAGAGGTCACATGAAGGCGGTGGTGATGGACTTGCTCAGACAGTACCTGAAAGTTGAGATCCAGTTTCAGAATGGTAAGGAATAGCAGTAACACACATAATTGTTGGTTTAAAAGGCACACTGTGGTGACACGCTGTCAGAGTAATGGCAAGAGTAATAATACTTTTTTGGGAGAATTGCACTTACTCATTCTTTCCACTTGATGGAGCGCTTTCACAATAAACACCTCAGCTTCTGTGACTCTACTGTTCCACTGTTCAGTATTTGTCAAAGCTCTTGCATGTTGGTTTGTTAACAGGACACTACGACAAGTGTGTGTTTGCACTGCGTGAAGAAAACAAAGGTGACATGGCCAATGTCCTCAACTATATCTTCTCCCATGCTCAAGTGACTAAGAAGAACCTGCTGGTTACTATGTTGATTGTAAGTGTCCAGCCTTATTGATATAAACAGACTCACCTTCCAAGGTAATGTGTGATGAAGATTTGGGTAAATATATTTCGGTACTAGATTACTCATTGCTCATTCAGGAAAGTAATTTTTATCAGCCCAGGAATGTGTAATTACTGCAATTTACAGTGTGATGTGTTAATGCTAAAAAGCACAATATAATATCCATATGCTGTTGATATTATGTTTTTTCTAAACTAAAGTGTTTTTATATATCTAGCTAGTGACATATAATGTAATGTTATCATCTCCTGTGTATAGGACCAGCTTTGTGGCCGTGATCCCACATTGACAGATGAACTGATGGCCATCTTGACTGAACTCACCCAGCTCAGCAAGACAACCAATGCCAAGGTGGCGCTGCGTGCCCGGCAGGTCAGATGGACTGCAATATTTATTTATTTTTTTTTACAAATTTGTTTTATGTTCCATTTAAAATACTCAGTATTCAAATTCAGTGTGTTTAAATCCACTGAAGTAACTGGCGTGCACATATGCTTCCTCCTGTAAGCTGATTTATTAACTGTGAAGTGATGTTAATGTAATGTAAAAGGTCTGGGCGCATCTTCTATCACTAATACAGGTAAAGCAAGTATAAGCAAGCCATGCTTTCAAAATAAAGTTGGTGGTATGGGAGAACGTGTGTGTATATAGGATGTGAAATTATTCCTGCTTAAAGTCAAAACCTGAAAAATGTGAATTATTCTAAAGTGGCTAAAGCTGCTTAATGTGTGATTTTCATGTAAAGATGTTATGAGTTTTCATAACAAAGTGGAGCTGCAGAAGATTAAAGTGTCTCATCCCCACCAATTAACATGCAGATTAGCCCTATTTACTGACTTCAAGCTTTGCGGTTAGTTATGAATATGTTCAAGTAAGGTCAAATCTATAAAAATGTGTTGCTTCAGTGCACAGATAAGGAAGTTATTGAACATCAACTTTGGACCAATGTTTTTATTCACATGGTGAGAATTTCACCACCAGATATCATTGCCTATTATTTTTAATTTGCATGGGTCAAATAGAATAGAACATTTTTAATTAAAAAGTGGTAATGCTTATAAGCATTTTGAAGCCAAACTGAATACTGTCACAAACTGTGATGAGAAAAGTGTGCTATAACTACTTCGTTTAATAATAAGTAAAATCAGTTAAGATTAAAGGACTTTCGGTCATCCTCTTTGCCCAGGTATTGATAGCTTCCCACCTCCCCTCGTATGAGCTACGACACAACCAGGTGGAGTCCATCTTCCTCTCTGCCATTGATATGTACGGACACCAATTCTGCATTGAGAACCTGCAGGTAGGCAATAAAGGAGTAGCAAGTGCGGTTTTATCTAATGCTCTGAAAATGCAGAGAGTTTGCAACATGACTAATTAATCCATTTTCTTTCCTAGAAACTGATTCTTTCAGAAACTTCCATCTTTGACGTTCTGCCCAACTTCTTCTACCACAGTAATCAGGTAGTCAGGATGGCTGCCCTTGAGGTGAGAGCAATAGCGGCCTCAATCCATAAAAAATCAATTAGCCTTCACTTCCAGGCGATTCACGTGTCAAACTAATGTTTTCTGTGGCTTTATCTCTAATAACCACAGGTGTATGTTCGCAGAGCATACATTGCCTATGAGCTCAACAGTGTTCAGCATCGACAGCTGAGGGACAACACATGTATAGTAGAGTTCCAGTTCATGCTTCCCACCTCGCACCCGAACAGGTATTGTAATACCCACAATGCTGTGCATCACCTGCTCCCACCCTTAAACGGCACTGTGGACAGGAATCAATATTTGTAATAGGGATGGACATTGAATTTTCTATTGGTGGCTGTGATGCTGGCAAGTTGGCAGCATATATTTGGTCACAACTTTATTTTCATTTAGTATCTTAGTTGCAGGTGCTGCGACTATCTGTTGTTCCTACTTGCTGGCTTCCTCCTCAGAAATATCAGCATCTTTTGGTGGCTCCCCCTATTTTTGTATCTCCTTTTGCCTCAGAAACCCCAGTGTTATTCAGTCGTCCAGGTGTTTGAAGCATTGATGTGCTATGGTTATTGTGGTAATTTTGATCGATAAATCGGTTTGAGTCATTCTTTAAGAAAAAAATAAGTCAAAATTATCTGATTCTAGCTTCTTTAAACGTGAAGAATTTCTGGTTTCTTTATTCCTCTATGACTGAATATCTTTGGGCTGTGGAAGAAACAAGACATTTGATCATCATCTTGGGCTTGGGGATAAGTTGATCAATGTTTTTTTTGACATTTTATAAACCCAAACGTAATCAATTAATCAAGCAAATTACTGACAGATTAATTGACCCGGAAACACTCGTTAGTTCCAGCCCCGAAGTTTATTTTGAAGTCACTGCAACAGTCAAGAGCTGGAGTTTACTTAACAATCTTGTCATCCGTGGTGCCACGGTTCCTCTCCCACCTTCCCAGCTCTGTCATTATTTCAAAGTTTCTCGCGTAAATGCTTTTCATGTGCAAAAGAAGGTATTTTGCAAGCCTGAAAATACTTTTCTTGGTTTGTCAAAGGTGTGTGAGTGCCATGAGCAACAAAGCTCCTAGCCTCAAGAATCTCATGTCAGTTGCCCTTCCTTGTAAGTCCTGGAAAAACAAAAAGCTCTAATGACATTTAAAACTTGAGAATCAGAGAGAAACCATGGACAAACTCTGGATTTGTATGTTGTACATACTCATCATTTGAATAAGCTTGTAACAGACAAAGTACTGTGCCATTTCGTTTGCCCTCATGTTCTGCATCCTATCTGAGTGATTGTGTTTGTCTGTGTGTGAATGTCTGTGTGTTTCGCTGTATTTGGTTGTTGTTGCATTGCAGTGCTAGTATTTTTTTTCTTTGCTATGTTGGGTTCAGCTTGTTTATGCTGTTGGCTGTAGAAATCATTTGAATGCTGTCATATGTACATTTTTATTGCATGCTTTTGATTTTCTGTGTCTCAATTAACCTTGGCGTATCACTCATCACTACAAACTAAAGACAGCATGTGAGGGTGAAATTATCCTCTGCCTTCGCTCAGAGTACACCTCAGGACAAGGAGGTCTTAGCCTCTCTTGATGCATGTTATAAAGGTAGCAGTCATGAAGTGAAATGTGTGTTTATGGCAATTTACTATATGTTCCATTTTCACATTCATTTAGATATCGATTCATGCAAAATAAATTCATCATGTTAAAGGGCATACACACATTGCTAAACCTTGACTGTCTTCCTCTCCTGATGCCTGCCACTAACCACATGGTAATCAATGTTGTTTGATTGCAGAGGGAACATCCCCACTCTAAACAGGTATTGTAAAACATTCTTTTTATTGCATAAACCACTAGTGACTAGAACAGCTAGCTGCATGGTGAAATCAGTAATCATTGTTATGGTCAATTCATCTGGTGATTAAGTTAACAGATGTTGCAATGATGCAACTCTTAGGTGCTTTGAAATTTCCACAAATGAAACAGATTTTAGCAGCTGGAGTTGGATTGAGAATTTCTTTATTTTACTGACAACAGCATGGCCCTTGGCGTTCAGCCTCTGTGTCAGACTTTTATTTGTGTGTGTGTGTGTCTTTGTGAAGGAGTGTTATATTCCCAAATATTGTGTGTGTGTGTGTGTGTGTGTGTGTGTGTGTGTGTGTGTGTGCTTCAATAATTTGGAATAATTTAGGATGTAATGTGACGTAGGTGAATTCAAAATTACGTGTTGGGGAATTGTTGTACACTAGTGCAAGTCTCCTGAACTGAAACCTGTGACTGTGCTGTCCAGGAAAATGTCTACTCCAATCCTGGACATTGTAAAAGCCACGGACACTAAATTACAGGCAACTAAAACCCAGGACCTTAAAGCACAAGATAGTAAACCTAAGGATGATTCTGCTGAGAAGAAAAATGCCTCAGATTCGGATTCTGTGGACAGGTTTGGCACACAAAACCTCTCTAGTGTTTTAATTGGGTGTAACTTCTGGGACAGCTTCTTATAATCAAAGGACTAACTCCCAACAAAATAAACAGTGTATATTTAAATGGGTATTCTGGTGGTTTTGTGTCCATGTTCCTGTAAAAAGAATATTTTCTTTATTTTAAATTTGACTAACATGTGGTCTGTCAAAAATCCCTTACATACTCTATAGCTGCTTTCACTGTGTTCACATGCAACGGTGTAATTCTTGGCCTCTTCCTTTTTATAATTGGAACCTCATTCAGTTTTTACACTAAATTGTACCCTACAATCGACTGCAATTAGGCTTCTAAGAGTTTTCATACATATTAAATCCCAACATCTCAAACTGCCAAATAACTGAGGGATCAAAACTGTTGTGAGGTTCTTAAAGGTCGATTGGGGGGGGGGACGTCTTCACACAGTCAGTCTAGTGGCATGGCAGATTCCCATTGTAATTGCGCTCTGTCGATACTCTAGGATGTCATTCTCATCCAACCTAAATCACTATGGCATGGTGCACGTAGCCAGCGTCAGTGACGTTCTGCTCGACACATCTTTTACACCACCTTGTCAGCGCATGGGAGCCATGGTCGCTTTCCGGTCCTTCCAGGAGTTCACCAGGTCAGCACTTAAGATAAAATACTTATGATAAAAGACTTGTTAACTTGGATGTATTTCACTGTAAGGTGAAGATAATATTGCAGGTGTGATTAATGGCATGTGTGTTTTTCTCCTCTATAGGAACATATCGGACATGTTGAGCTGCTTCTCTGACTCTCCTCCCCCAAGTCCAACCTTCCCAGAGGGAGGTAATCCTGTCCTGTATGGCGAAGAGGACAATAAGGTGACAAGAACAGACTTCTGATATTCACAGGCCGGTCATTGATCTGTACGACTTTGTACCTTAGAATGAAATATGCATTTGCCTTGTCATCCAGAGTGTCCAGGATGAGCCTATCCATATCCTGAATGTGGCCATCAAGACTGACAGCGACATTGATGACGATGGCCTGGCAGCCAACTTCCGAGAGTTCACTCAGTCAAAGGTGGGACCAACAAGGCCTTTTTTGTTTCCCCTCGATATCAGCAGAGAGAGTTAAATGTTTGAGATTGCTCAGAAAAAACATCCTGACATTTGTTTCCTTTTTCCCATTACAGAAATCTCTGCTGTTTGAACATGGCATCCGTAGGTTGACTTTCCTTGTGGCTCAGAAGGTAAGAGCCCCTAATGAATATTGAAGTGAACTACCTGTCTCCACAATCTGCCAACCTGCATGACACCAATTCAGAAGTTCTGATTAGCATGTATCAAACGTTTACATATGATTTGTCTTGCGTCTTTTGTTTTGTAAATACTAATACTTTTGATGAGTTTGTTTACACGGGATGACATTGTTGTGGTAATTGTAATCATTTGCATTTGAAATTCAGCCTTATGATCCTGTTTGTCTCTGTATCTCTTTCTGCATGCCTTGCTTTTTGCTGCATTTATGATGACAGGATTTCAGGAAGCAAGTCAACTGTGAGGTGGACCAAAGGTTTCATGTAAGTAGAGGAAGACAAAGGAAATGAGAACAGGTGGCTCTTTCATGTGATTTATTGAAGTATCAGTGCATGTGGTTAAAAACAGTTCAAACACGTCCTACCAAGGAGGTGCACATTAAATATCCAGACAGTCAGTTCCAATGTATCTGTTTTAAACCACTGTAGACAGTCCACTGGAGGTAGATTAATGAGCTCAAAAGATGGTATACTGATAATTCCCACATGGATTTTATCCAGCAGTGACTGCTTGGTCTTTCTGTGACAAGCCATGCGGTCCTGCAACTCCTCGATTTAAAGAGGAAGCTTATTCAACTCTGTTGCACCAGTGTAAATAAAGAAAACCTAACCCACCATTGCCATTATATCCCCAGAACCATGAACTCATTGCATAGGTTTTATCACCTTGAAATGCCAATCATGACGGATTTGTGATATGCTCTGCCTATTCTGCTATAGCACACACGGCCGCATTTATTTTTCCATGGTCGGCCCATTATCAACAGAACACCCACTAGCATTCAGATGATGGTGATACTGACAGGGATTTAGAACAGGATTAGCTTTTGAGAAATGCTCTATTCTCTGTTCTTTCGCCTCTGTTGTCATTTTGACAATAGGCATTGATTTTTCTTTTGATGGCACCACAGTGTCTGATGAGAGCTAATCGTGGCCCTTGTTATATGGACTTTTTTCAGTGCTCTTTTTCAGTAGTCTGCACCAGTCTGCATGCTCACCCTAAAATGTTTTTTTCTCAGTTGACTATATAGTGGTGGGTGAAAATGATGTATAATCGCTGTGTCAAATCATGTAGAGGTGTCCAGTGTGTGTGTGCTATTGCAGTTCTCTTGTTGTTGTGTAGGCTGAGCATCTCCAGTCGCTTGGGTATTGTTTTGGCAAGTAGGACACTTCATCTGATAATGTCAGACAGGGCTACCAGGCATTATTCAGAAGATCAAATGTCTCTGGGAAAAAAAGGAAATGTTTTATTCATTAGCTTGGTGAGAGGTGCTATATATATTGCCTATTGCCATTAGTATGTGAGCGTGCAGTCTTAGTGAATACACAGTGATTCCCTGATAGACAAATTATAGCAGTAAAGGAGCATATGGCCTGATCATCACTGCATAATGCTCCATACTCACTGGTGTAGCAATTTCAGCATAGCCCCAAAATAGCTTATTGTCACCTGCTGTGATTAGGTTTATAGTTGTATGTCTAACTGATTTGGTATGCTTAACATTACAATGCTTTTGTTGAGGATCCATTGTTGATTTCTTTTTTTTCCCGTCTTATCTCTATCTTCCATACAGAGAGAATTCCCCAAATTTTTCACATTCCGTGCCAGAGACAAGGTGGGTGTCTACTTTCAAGGGTTCATTTAATGGTCTTTTTACATCAAAATGTAAAAAATATACAAAATATATAATATACACAATCAACACAGAGCACAACAGAACAAAAAAATTTATTTTGGGGGATTGAGGGGAATGAATTTAAAAGCCTCACTGCCTGGGGAAAGAAGCTGCTCTGGAACTATGCGGGTGCAACATTTATGGGAACTATTAAAAACCATGTGTCAAATCATCACTTGGCCATCTTGCTGTTAGCTCATGTAGAAATGGCCATCTTTATTGAAAATACACAGCATCAGATTATTGTAACAATGAAAATGAACCCACAAATTTCAAAATAAAACTGAATGATTAATTTAACTTTACCATTCAAAGCTATGTTATGGTGGTAAGAAACAACTTTTAACCCCCCTAGCAGTGCTGAATTTCACTCTGTCAGAATCAGTGATGCTCTTCTTCCGTTACCCCTGAAAGTTTCACTACAATGACACCACCAAAGCTCATTAAAGTAATGAACTCTTTAATTATGTCTCCCATTTAAGAGAAATGACACCCATTAGCAGCTTCCTGGGATCGAGGTTGCCAATGATTTCATTTACTTAATACACTGTGTGGCTCACAGGCATCTTTCTACTCTTATATCAAGTCAGTGCTCCTGAAATTGCCAATTTGAACTACTGTTAATGGAAGAGATGATGGCAGGGAAGCCTAACTTAAAGGAAAAAGTTACTCAGGAAAGTCTTTGAACATGTCCATTTAAATTGTTTGTATTGTTGTGTTTCTGTTTGTGATTGTGTCTTGTCGATTCTTAAAAGTTTGAGGAGGACAGGATCTATCGTCATTTGGAGCCTGCACTAGCTTTCCAGTTGGAGCTCAACCGCATGCGCAATTTTGCCCTAACTGCCATCCCATGTGCCAACCACAAGATGCACCTGTACCTGGGTGCAGCCCGTGTGGAGGTGGGCACCGAGGTGACGGACTACCGTTTCTTTGTGCGAGCCATTATCCGTCACTCTGATCTGGTCACAAAGGTGAGACAACGGATGAACAAGGAACCTTGATTCTCCAAAAAAAATTCTTATAAATGAATCACACCTGCCTCATTGACAGTTTTTTTTCTGTTCCTCCACTAGGAGGCATCTTTTGAATACCTTCACAATGAGGCAGAGCGTCTGCTGCTGGAAGCCATGGATGAGCTGGAGGTGGCTTTCACAACACGACTGTACGAACTGACTGTAACCACATATTCCTCAACTTTGTCCCCACAGTCATCATGGACCCATCAAAGGTTTGAGAAACCATCACAGACACCACATCTTTGATACGCTGTCAGACAGCTCACATTGTTATTAATGAGTTTGCTTTCTTTCTCTACAAACCTCAGATTGAGGAGTCTGTGCGCTCCATGTGATGCGTTACGGCAGCCGCCTGTGGAAGCTGCGCGTCCTGCAGGCTGAACTGAAAATTAA